GTGAAAAGAGCCTAGAAGCTGTGCTAAGATTCCCGGGCTCTGGGGCTACATTGTTCAGCTCAGGACTGAACCAAACACCCAGTCTTGCTTTATCAGAAAACATGTTCATTTGCTAGGTTTCATTTCCACAAGACTGTGGTCCAGGCCACAGGCGATGACCCGGCGAGGGGACTGCGGGTCCTCGACCACTTGGGCGACAGCAGTCATCGCCTGCTGGGATTCACCATCCAGCGCAGGGTGTCAAGGGCCTGCAGCAAGGCAGCAGCCCTTGACTTCAGGAGGGCCGACTTCAATGAGTTGAGGAGATTGGTAGGAGAGGCGTTGCGGGCCCAGCGAGTAGGGGAACTAGGTGTCCAAGACGAGTGGTCGTTCCTTAAGGAGATGATCCTCCGAGCCCAAGAGGTGACAGTCCCAGTGTGAGTCAAAGGGGGCTAGAGTGCTCAAAAGCCCCCTTGTCTCACCAAAGGCATTCAGGAATGTCTGAAAGCCAAAAAGGAGGCGTACACCCGATGGAAGGAGAGGGCTATCGCCAAAGAGGAGTGTACCTCCATAGCAAGAGTCTGTAGCGGGGCTGTTAGGAAAGCTAAGGCAGAGACGGAAGTAAGGCTAGCATCAAGGATCAAAACAACAAAAAGTCCTTTTTTAAATTCATAGGGAGGATAAAGAAGGCACCAGGCAACGTGGAGCCCCTGCAGGACATGCTTGGCAATCTGGTGGTTGCACCAGATGAAAAAGCAGACCTTTTTAACAAATTCATTATCTCCATTTTTCTGAGCAGGGACCGGGACTTCTCCTCCACCGAGATTCAGGACAGACTCAGGAGAAACTCTGCCAGGCCCAGGGTCAGGAAGGACTGAGTTAGGGAACTTCTGGAGGGGCTGGACGTGTTCAAATCAGCAGGTCCAGACGCTCTCCACCCCAGGATGTTGAGGGAATTGGCAGGGGTTATCGTGGGGCCCCTGGCATGCCTTTACGAGCACTTGTGGTGCTCTGGCCAGGTGTCAGACGACTGGAAGAGGGCCAATGTGATCCCCATCTTCAAAAAAGGGAGGAGGGAGGACCCGGGCAACTATAGGCCCATTAATCTTACTTCAGTCCTGGGGAAGCTCTTTGAGAAGATCATCAAGGAGCACATCTGTGATGGGCCGGCATCGGGGATGATGCTCAAGGGCAACCAGCACAGTTTCATTAGAGGCAGGTCATGTCAGACCAACCTGATTGCCTTTTACGATCAGGTCACAAAAGCATTGGATGCAGGTGTCGCCA